TCTTATTTTTCTACTTTTATTTTTTTCTATTTCAACTTCCTTATTTTAAATCTCTTCTATCTTGCTTAGTTGTATATTTGCTTTATTACATATATGTATATTTCAAAGATACACTTAAACATAGGCCTTCAGTTGTGTGCTGTCATATAATTTGACTCCTAAAGCACCAGTCTGATATACTAGACTTTCTTTAAAACTCTTTGATGGCCGTGTCTTGCCATTCATGCCAGCCTGACCTTGGCCTTCAAGGTCGGCCACAATACGGCAAAAACTCGCCTTTGTACCATCTCTCCCTTTCACACGCCCTGTATTCCAGCACAGCTGAGCAACTTAAACTGTCTCTTGTTCAGAAGTATACCCCACTCTGATCTTCCGTCACTAGAAATGACTTCTTTTACCCCAAAGACTGGCTTTCATTGCTACCAGTCCAAAACTTACATGCCTTTTAAGCTTTTCTGAAATGTGCTATTCTTTGCAAAACTCTTCTCAATTTCCCCAAGGGGATGTGATTTATCCCTCCTCTAAAGTTTTAGATCTCTGTTTTCTTCACTCATATTATGCATACAGTAGGTGTTAAATAACTATTTGACTCTCCAAAGACTTTAAGATTAGTTGGTCTTTGGCAAAAGTCACTCACGTCCTTTCCCCATGAGAGAGAGGTGAGTAGTAAGTAGCCTGTGAAATCAGGAGAGCTCTGAATTGAGTGCCAGGCCATCACTGTCACAGACCCGAGTGTCATCCTGTCCTTTCTTCCTAGTGGCTGTTACGTTTTTAAAAGAACTTTGCCGGTGTGCATTTATCTGTCCCCCTTGTTTTTCCCAGTTTTTTGGTAGTTTTACTGTGGGCCGTATGCTTGAACCAGTCTGATTCCCTGGGACCAGGAGCTGGCAGTGGCTGGGCAGTGCGTGCTGGGCCCTGCGCGCTGTGGAGACGGGTTGCTGGCAGTGGCTGTGAAGGAGGCAGAGTCAGCACGGGCAGCCCTTTCAGCGGGAAAGACTCACCCCAAATAGGGGGAGGGCGCACAGGACTGTACTCTAATAGGGGAAGAACCTGTTGAATTTGTCAGAAATTAACCATTAAAACTTTTCAGGGAACAGAATTCTTTTCATTTTTTAAGAGATTTTCTTTCTTTATCTTTAGAGGGGAAGGAAAGGAGAGAGGGAGAGAAATATCAATGTATGGTCGCCTCTCGTGCGTCCCTTGCTGGGAACTGGCCTGCAACCCAGGCATGTGCCCTGACTGGGAAGCAAACCACGATCCTTTGGTTCACAGGCCCACGCTCAGTCCACTGAACTACGCCAGCCAGGTTGTTTTCATTTTTAAACCAAATTTAAATAAACATTCTTGAAGACTCTGTAAACTTATTTTGTGGTTTTGTAGTCCACCTGGGGGAAAAACAGCATTGAAAACGGCATGTTCAGTACTTTACTTTTTATAATATGCGGTCATATTTTCTAATTTTTTTAAGTTGTATTTTGAATGCCGGGACTGATTGCTTCTTTGAAAACTTTTGCTGGCTCTGCCTTGTGCACCAGCACGCTGCGTTTTTTTCCTAAGGCGTTACATTTATTGTAGCAAGACGTTAAGGACAGACCCGCTTTATCTTGGAATTTATTTTGTAAAACAGTAGAAGATGATCTCTAAAAACAGATGAACTTGTGTTATTTTAATATCACAAGAGATGACTTTAGACAGCTTTACATATCAGTGGGGTTGCCCTGACTGACGTGGCTCAGCTGGTGGAGAGTCAGCTTGCAAAACAAAAGCTCACCAGTTCGATCCCCAGTCAGGTCACATGCCTGGTTGTGGCCTGGTCCCCAGTTGGGGGCGTGCGAGAGGCAGCATCAATATTTCTCTTCCTCCCTTTCTCCCCACCCCCTTCCACCTGTAACTTTCAGGTTCTTAGAACTCAGTATATTCACCCAGAGAGTCTGCTAAAAAACTAGGTTGAGATGATTTATACTGTAATAAGTACGTTGGAACTGAGGGTGCACATTAGGGCTGGGTAATGGAACGCGGAAGGTTCTGATTTCCCTAATGTGTTCTTTTGGTTTTGTAAAGATTACTTTATTTTGCCCCTAGGAGATATTTTAAGTTCTCTGGAAAGAAAATAAAGATTAGCACCAGAACTCAAAGGGAAAGGTGCCAAAGTCAAATGAAGAAAGTACAGTGTGGGCAGAAAGCCCGGTGTGTTTCCAGATGAACAAGTAGACTCCCTCTCGCGTTGTGACAGGGACGCGTTGGTGTTCCTGCGAGTTTCCGTGACTTTATCAGTGGCGAGACGTCACTCCCAGGTTCATACGGGAATGTATGCACTCGGGTGTGTATCATTTAAAATAGAATAAAGCATTGTAGTTCTGATTGTTAAAAGAAAAAATGGTCTTATTTTCTAAGTTTTAAAAAAATATTGATTGATTTTAGAGGTGGAGAGGAAGGGAAAGAGAGAAGCACTGATTTCTTGTTCTGCTTATTCATGCATTCATGGGTGGTTTCTCGTGTGCGCCCTGACTGGGGGTCGAAGCTGCAACCTTGGTGTATGGGGACGGCACTCGGACCAACTGAGCTACTGGGCCAGGGCTAACTTCTAAGTTATTTATTTTTTTAAGATTTTATTTATTTATTTTTAGATAGAGGGGAGGGAGGGAAAAAGAGAGGGAAAGAAACATCAGTGTGTGGTTGTCTCTCACAATGCCCCCTCCCCCCACAGGGGACCTGGGCTGCAACCCAGGCATGTGTTCCAACCAGGAATTGGACCAGCCACCCTGTGGTTCATAGGCTGGTGCTCAGTCCACTGCGCCACACCAACCAGGGCTCAATGGCTTTTAAAACACGCTCTGTGTAAAAGTAATTATTTTTAGAAAAATGCACCACACTGCGCACATGTCCTGTAAGTCACTTTAGTCACTCACAGACCCAGGTTCATAGCAGCAATACCAGTTGTTGCCTTGAAGACTGCTGGTCCCTGCGGCAGAGGGTCTCAGATGGTGAGAAGACAGACACCCTGGCCTTCTGTGCGTCACCTCTGCTCACGGTGTCCTGGCCAGGGGGCCCCGCCCAACCACAGGGGCAGGGGCAGAAAGTACAGGTGTCCCACGGGCCCAGAAATATGTGGGAAGAGCACATGAATTACTATCACAGAGGATGTCTCTTCATTTATTTTTCTTTGTCTCCTTTAATTGTATGTATTTTCTGTTAATAACTTTTGCTGGTTAGTTGAATTTTACTGTCTCTCCTCCCTTGGTTAGTTTGAGGCAATTACTGTAAGTTTAATAACATATTTAGAGTAGTTTACATTATTTCCCTGGGTCAGACGTTTTGGCACATGCAAAATAAAGCTACTAGGGTTTTCCACTTAAAATATGAGGCATGGAACTGTTTGTTGCAAAAAAAGATATGTAGTAACAGGAATAATTGATTTTGTTGTTTTTTGAGGTGTCCTTTGTCATAGCAGAGTTAGACCACGAGCTTTGGAGTCTAGCATGCCTGAAGTCAAACATTGCTTTTGTCACTGAATAGATACGTGGTTATAGACAATTAGCCTCTCAGAGGCATAATTTTATGGTCAATAAATATAAAAATGTATAACTGTATTCAGATAGCAGACAAAACATGGTAGCATTTATCACCATTCCTTTCTGAAATAGCAGTAACCTGAGTAAAATAATGTTTAAAAGAAAAAATCCACAGAGAAGGAGGAGAATAGTTTAAAAATGCACTCCAAGGTGGTGTAGTGGTCACCGAGCTGCAGCGGCAGGTAACAAGCACCTCGACAGGTGCGGGCATGGCCAGCCCTCAGCGCGCGCTGGTTGGTCTCCGTCCATCCGTCAGCCAGACGGCTGCGTGTTCTCGGGGACACTCACACGGCTCAGGGCTTAGGTCGCTGGCTGAACAGCCATGTGAGGTATGTCACAGAGCAAGTGGTGTGCCTTTCTGATTATTTTTTTAAATTGATGGTTTTATTTTTCTTGGAACCGTATCAACTTGATGGTTACTGTTTCTTAGAATTTATATTTCTGTGCACTGACACGTGAAAAGTCAAAAGTCACCCAGTTACGGAGTGGATCTAGTGAGCTCTGCATGGAACAAGTTCGAAAATGCTTGGCCACTTTGAAATTACTGTGATAAATCTGAAAACCATAGTGTCTGCAGTAATATCTATACCTATATTAAAATTACTTAAAGCCAGGGGCGTTTTCTCTGTCTCCAGCAGCTCTGTCGGTGAACTTTTATTCTGCTGGTCCGCAGAGCCTGACCCACAGCCGCCTTTGCTCACTGGCGGGGGGCCAGTGGTGTCCAACGACAGAGAAAGCTGAGCAGTGCCCCGGTGCGTTTCGTGTGTGACTCGTGTGATAAGACTGTAAACTCCTGGCGGACAGGGACCATGTGTTTTGCCGTGTCAGTATGTCCCCTAGGATCTAGGGTAATGAATGCTCTGTAGTAGTAGCTGTTCATTTAATTATCAAATATGTACCGTGCACCTGCTGAGTGCTAAGCACTGTGCTGGCTCTGAGGACGTCTCAGTGAAGGGATGTGACTCCTGCTGTCTCAGAGTTTACTTAGGATCTGACTCTAACAACGTGTGTGTCAGAGGGGCCTGAACCGAACAGGTTTGAAACCGTGACCTTTGACTACACGACCGGGGTCCCAGCAGGAAGGAGGAGTGAAGGGACCACCCAGTGGCACCAAGGGCCCCTGTGAACCTAGCGGAGCTGATAAACTTCAGGGCCTGCTCGTTTCTTATTTAACAGTTATTTGTTATTTGTTCAGTTATTTGTTAACTAACATTTGAAGATGAAGATCAGTTATACAGGTTAAAGAAATTCTGTCAAATTCATGTAACTCCGTAAAATAATGGCCCACACTGAGCCATTTCAGCACAGTAAAGAAGTGCGTGTATAAAGAGCCTAATCATTTTAAGCTGCGTCTGCCGCATGGCGGACGTGCATGCTGTACGAAGGAAGTCGTGGTGTCTGACCTTTTTTCTTTGCTTTTCTTTGTAGATAAGATGCTCCAAGTCACCCGCAGCCGTCTTCAAAGGGAGAATCACTAGTGCTCTGCTCTTGCCGTAACACCAAACCTTTTGACTTGCGCTTTGGTGCTCCCACACTGGAAGGATTGCTCGCAGGTCCCTGGGTACCTTTTTTGTCGTTCAGATGATTCTTTGTGGATGGAAAAAGATTTGAGTCTTGATAATTACCCTGTTTTAAAGATATTTCATTTCTCTACAGTCTGAACTGCTTAACAGATCGGCCACTTACCAATGAGCCACACCGCCAGTCCCTGTCGGGACCTGGCCGAGGACCACGCTGCACATGCAGCAGGAATGGCACAGGAGGACAGCCGTCGTGGCCCAGTGCCGTCTACCTTCTATCATGGTGCCAACCAGGAACTCGACCTGTCCACCAAAGTGTACAAAAGGGAATCAGGAAGTCCTTACTCTGCGCTAGTGGACAGCAAGATGAGCAAACCGCATCTGCATGACACCGAGGAACAGCCCTATTTCAGGGAGACAAGGGCCGTGTCTGACGCGCATGCCGTTAAAGAAGACCGGGAGAATTCTGACGACACCGAAGAGGAGGAGGAGGAGGTCTCTTACAAAAGGGAGCAGATCATAGTGGAGGTAAACCTTAATAATCAAACATTAAATGTATCTAAAGGGGAAAAGGGTGTCTCTTCTCAGTCCAAAGAGACTCCTGTTCTTAAGACAAGCAGTGAGGAGGAAGAGGAAGAGAGCGAGGAGGAGCCCACAGACGACAGCAGCGACTACGGAGAGAATGAGAGGCAGAAGGAAAAGGAGAAGGTGGCGGAGAAAGGCAGCGTCGCGCAGAGGAGGACGAGGAGAGCGGCCTCCGCCGCCGCAGCTGCCGCCTCCCCCACTCCCAGAGCCACGAGAGGTCGTAGGAAGAGCGTAGAGCCACCTAAGCGTAAGAAGCGGGCTGCAAAGGAGCCCAGAGCACCAGTCCAGAAAGCTAAGTGTGAAGAGAAAGAGACTCTGACCTGTGAGAAGTGCCCCAGGGTGTTTAATACTCGCTGGTACCTGGAAAAGCACATGAACGTTACTCACAGGCGCATGCAGATTTGTGATAAGTGTGGCAAGAAGTTTGTCCTGGAAAGTGAGCTGTCCCTTCACCAGCAAACAGACTGTGAAAAAAACATTCAGGTAGGTTTCATCACCGAGAGGGCAAACTTTCCAGAATAGAACCTGGCTGTTCAGACTCACCTGGTGTTTTTGCCCAAGAGAATAAATGCAGTAGAGGCCGAAGGGACAGATTTCACCAGTTTCTCTCTTTTTAAAAACTCCCGCTTTGGCCTTTTCAAAACCCAAGTGTAACATGTTATTTCAAAAGCATTAAACTTACTTTGACACTGGACTAGTGGGAACCCGGGTGCATTGGAAGGGGGCTCTGCGGCAGTTGCTTGCCCAGGAGGTAAAGCCAGCGCTGCCTGCGCACTGAGAGTCACAGTTGTAGGACATGTGTTCTGTTCATTCCGGCACCTTCTCTGTCAAGGTGGGAAATACTGATCAAAGCTCAGGAATAGAGCGGTCCCTTTCTAGGCTTAAATGGATGCCAGGTCCTAGTGCAGCCGATGGGGGCCAAACCCGTAATGACTCGGACGGTGGAACTGGAAGATCTCCAGCAGTGGGTGTGCTCTTTCCAGTGGAGAGATGACAACACTAAATTTGTCAAGAGGCTGAGCCCGCGGGCATGTGCGGACTTTAAACAGAGGCCGAGCGGGTTGACAGTGTTGCCCACCCAGCAGTGAGGTCATGTGATGCTGCTGTGCCGTATTGTTGAGGTAGCAAAACATGGTATGCAAACCGGGCTGCGGCCGTCAGAGGACTGTGTTGTGGTAGGGTAAGAGGTGTGCTGACTACATTGTGTTGAGTGAGTTACATTATGTGGAGCCACATTGGTTTGCACATATGAATGCATGTTAATGCCTATGAAAGGTAAGTCTATTAATGCCTTTGGTAAAATATGTGAAATAGACATCTGTTGTACCATATTCAAGCTAAATTTCTTTTAAAAGGTGCAATTGTTTTGTTTCCTGGACTGCCCCTTATTTTTCACACCTCTTGCTTTTAATCAACCACTGAGTTCATTGCTTTACTTTAAAGAGCACATTGCTAAAAATTCGCTGCTTCTTGACTCGTCAGTTGTGATCTGGTCTCCCAGACGCTGGGCAACTAGGAGACTGAGTCACGGCCCCCACCTTCCAGGGGCTGCCAGGGCCTTGCTTGGTGACGAACTGGCTGCTGCCTTCAGGCCCAAAGGCAGTGTTTGCGGCGCTGCACCCTAGGGGTCGGCCAGGCTCTGTGTGACTCTTGAAGAGCTTTCTGGAATTGTTTTTCTTAACTTAAATTCATTAAGTTACAGAAAAGGAAGCATTTAATCTTTCCGTGTGTGTGACTTTCCTTACTATTCCCCACCATAATTTGTTTCAACGTGTGTTTAGGTTTTTGGATGCTGCTAAGTGAACTCTCTTTACATTCGTTAGGGACACTGCTTTGTTCTTAATTATGAATCCTGGTAATCATGCTGCTCTAGTAACAAGTAAAAATTAAAACCTTGCTCCACCAAATGGTTTGTAGGAATCGTCTGCCCTTTCATCGGGCTCTGTGCAGCGGAGGCTTCTGCTTTCACTCCTTGCCGAGGCCTCTTTGCCTGGAGTAAGAGAGACGCTAGAAGGTCCAGCTTGTCCCTACGCGTCCCAGAGTCCGATGGTCACCCAGAACTCCAGCATCGTTTCGCTCCAACCAGAGCATTTTATTTTCCTATACCTTATGCCTGGTAGTCTAGACTACTAGTGGTCCGTAATACACGGAACTAAGCCGTGTTGCGTGTATTTCCTGTAGGGCAGCGACTTTCAGCCCTTTTCATCTCGTGGCACACGTACGCTAATTATTAAAATGCTGTGGCACACCAAAAAACTGTATTTTTGACAATACAAAAAATAACCATCGAGTGTGACTCATTCACAGTCGATGAGTGTGATTTGTTTAATTGGGCAGTCTGCGGGAAAAGAGGCCAGTGCCCTGACCGAAAGAACGGTCAGGCGTAGTGCACTTCAGAAGTCCCCGTGGCGCCACCCGCACTCGTCCGAGACGCCTGGGGCCGGGCTGTGGCAGGAAAGGGAAACGGTGCTAACGGTGTAGGAGTTACATTAAACTCTGCCTGAGGCACATGTCTAATAGGGCAAATTAGACTCAGAAAACCATAATGAGATCTCAGTAATTTGTTAACGAAGGCCCCAAAGACATTCTCTAAGGTACACAAACATTGTTATACTTTTGCAGATCTGTAATCATTTACATGTATTCTGTTTTCTCTTGTTCTTGTTTACACTGATTTTTTTAAAAAATTTTCTTTATTTATCTTTAGAGGGGAAGGGAAGGAGAGAGGGAGAGAAACATCAATGTGTGGTTGCCTCTCGTGTGTCCCCTGCTGGGAACTGGCCTGCAACCCAGGCATGTGCCCTGACTGGGAATCGAACCGCGATTGTCTGGTTCACAGTCCCACACTCAATCCACTGAGCTACACCAGCCAGGGCTTGTTTACGCTGATTTTAACTTCCATTGTATTTTCTGGTAAACACCTGTTAGTGACCCACTTTAGGTAATTCATACATTGAAACAAACCTTGGAGGTTCCTTTTATAGGTACAGCACAAACTGGATAACATCAGTCGGTTCTTTGATATTAGTGGGAGTTCCCATTTCTTCCTGTCTTATGTTTTGCCATTGCTGCTCTACTCCCGATGCGTCTCTGAAAGGTGCATCTTGGAAAACAACACACAACACTGGTGTTGGAGCCCGGACTCCGTGGAAGGAAAGCATTTGTCGGGAGTCCGGCCTTGAACCACGGACCGAAAGCACGCGTGGGTCGTCTGCCAGTAGGCAGGCATGGCTTTCTGCAAGCCCTCGTGAATAAAGATTGTTTTTATTTGTCCTGCTCAGTGTGTTTCCTGTAACAAATCATTCAAGAAACTCTGGTCCCTTCACGAACACATCAAGATTGTCCATGGATATGCAGAGAAGAAATTTTCCTGTGAGATCTGCGAGAAGAAATTCTACACCATGGCTCACGTGCGGAAACACATGGTCGGTGAGTTTTGTCTGCTTCTCTCTCACACCCATAACGTTCCCTTGCTCTTCGTTCGGTGTGTGTTATGCCATGTGCACACCCCGGCCTCTGCTCGTGCTGCGTCACGGCCGCAGCCTCACAGTGTGAGTGTAGGGGGTTGAGATGGCGTGAGGCCCTTGCAACAGGACGCCTGTCCTTTTCAGTTTGCGCTTTCAGGTGAACTTACTTTGAACGTGGTGCATTCTGTGTTGCAGCACACACAAAAGACATGCCTTTTACATGTGAAACCTGTGGAAAATCGTTCAAGCGCAGCATGTCACTCAAGGTGCACTCCTTGCAGCATTCTGGAGAGAAGCCCTTCAGATGTGAGGTGAGGCGCGTGCCCCCCCAGGCCCCGGCCTAGGGGCGGTTGTGGGGGAAGCAGGGGGCGGGAAGCGGGGGCGCCGAAGCTCGGGGCGCCAGGCTGCGTTTCCGCAGAGTCTCCAGACTCGGGCTCTGAGCGCCCTTCTTATCTCACTGCCAGGTAGACAAGTGTCCTTTAAACACATTGTTAGCGTTTCTGGATTGAGTTAAATGGGGAATAACACAGGAGTTGTTTTTCTTTTAGTAACTTGCGGGGGTCGGGCACGTGTCAGTGGTCACAACATGAAATGTCCCTTTTATTGGTAACGGGGCTGCAGGATCACAGCAGAGCCAAGTAGTGGGCAGAAGCAGGTTCTGTCTCTGCGGCCGTGGGGGGCGGGCTCGGGTGGCGCCGCCCCGCGCGGCATTCACGCGTCCCCACTGTGTCCGTGCAGAACTGCGACGAGCGCTTCCAGTACAAGTACCAGCTGCGCTCGCACATGAGCATCCACATCGGGCACAAGCAGTTCATGTGCCAGTGGTGCGGCAAGGACTTCAACATGAAGCAGTACTTTGATGAGCACATGAAGACGCACACTGGTGAGCGGCGCGGGGGCTCGGGCACGGCCGCGCCACCTCTGGTTCTCGTTCTGAGTGGGAATTTTGCTTACGTACACCCGAAATGCAAAAACGTAGGTGTATCATACCGAAGGTCAGGCTTTCGTAAGTCTGTCTGTAAAAAGATGATTTGTCAGTGCCTTTTAACAGCAGGTTCCTCCAAGAGGAAGTTTGTAGGATTTGATTCTGGGCCGCGGGGTCTACTGACGAGGCACGGAGCTTGTTCTGTGTGGACTTTCTTCTAGGGAAAGGGCTCCGGGCCTTTAAAAATGGAGGACACTGACCACTTCGGATGGAATACCCTGTCAGTGCGCTGAACCGTTTGATCGGTGTCACTTAGGAAAATTCACTGCTTCTCAGGAACACACCCTCCGATGAGGTTGAATGACACTGTGACCACACTGTGCTTTTGGGGCGTAACCTCCACGCTGTGGGCTCGGACCCTGGAAGCTGTTTAATTAAGTAAATTACACCTCAAAAGATAATGATAATTTTGAAGCCTAAATAGAGAGCAAAATATACAGAATATTTAGCAAATTCTCTTCTAATTTGGTGGCTCTTGGAGAGGCTGTAAGTTTTGAGTCACTTCCAGGATTCGGGTTTGGTTACGCCTCAGGGGTTTGGTTACGCCTCAGGAAACCACGGAACTAGACGGAGAACAGGTTTCTGAAGGTGGCGGTTGTGTCACGTTCACTCACAGTGCTGGGCACACAGCAGTGGCCGGCAGGTGACACTGGGCTGGAAGAGACCCGCGGCCACCGAGGCCTCCGCCTCCATGCTCCGCCTCGTGCCTTTTCCCGCTCCTTCCTCTGCTCCCCCGCGTTTCTTCCTTCTTCTTCCCTTTGTCATTCTTTCTTTCTTCCTTCAAACCCCAAATGTCCATGATATAAGAGTCTGTATATTTTGTGATTAATGTATTTGTTGAATAAAATTTTATTTTTTGGGCCAGTGAGGCAAGCTGAACATTGCCTGTGTCTTCTAAAGCCACTTAAATTTTTATCCTTCTCATTAAGAGAGTAACACATACCTATTCAACTAACTGTATTTGAAAATTGAAAGCAAAATTAAAATGTATGATAACATTATCGCTAATAGATCATTACTGTCAATGTTTTGGCCAGCCCTGGCCAGGTGGCTCAGTTGGTTAGAGCGTCATCCTGATAATGCCAAGGTTGTGGGTTTGATCCCCAGTCAGGGCACATGTAAGAGTCAACCAATGAATGCACAAATAAGTGGACAGTAAATTGACATTTGTCTCTCTCCCTCTCCATCCCCCTCCCTCCTTCCCCTCTCTTAAAAAATCGCTCAGTAAACAAACATTTTGGCATACATTTCTAAGAATTCTTTAGTTTCGTAACGTAGATAACAGATGGCCGCTGTGCATGAGTGCGCGTGTGCTCATGTGTGCAGTGACAGGACGGAGTTGGGTCCTTGCACCCTGTTGTGACCTGCTATTTATTGCACTGCGTTGTGTCATCCACGGCGCCGTCACTTTAATGGTCACGGTCGCCATTGTTTGTCCCGCACGTGTGTGCCAGGCTCTATCTTAAATGCTTCATACACATTATCGCACTTAGTCGATAAAATCAAATTTTTACAGCATCCTATAAAGTAAAGCGTGTCATCTCCGCTTTATTTAGTCAGTTCCCATTAGACATTTAGATGATTTGTTTCCAGTTTTTCTACTGTTATGAGTAATACTGTGATAAGCAGTACCATTCAGGGTAAACTTCTAGAAATGGGATTATGAGGGCAAGGGGGTAAGCACATTTTTTCAGACTTGGTGGTGTGTTGCCAAATAGCCAGGTGCCCACTGTGTAGGCAAACACCTAGTTCCTCAGCCGGTCGCAATGCCAGATAAATCCCTGATTAGACAGGTGAGAAATGGTTTCTATTGTATTAACTTGCACTTAATATGTTGTTAAGTAAGATTGAACATTTTTCCATATGCTCGTTGGGTATCGGTATATTTTCTTTTCTGTGTTTCTTGTGCCGTTTCTGTATTCAGCTTTCTCTCGCAGTGTTTGACTGCCTCATTGTTTATGGTAGCTCTTTATGTGCATTTATATGTACTGGACCGTGTTTGACAGCCATATTAAAGTTCTTTCCCCTGGTTCGCCGTCCGCCTTTTAACATGGTGTGTGGCACTCACACCGGGAAGGCAGGTCAGCCGGACAGGCCTGGCTCTGCCCCTCTCGAGCGGTGCGGCCGAAAGCCGGTTCAGGCCACCCCCACAGGCCTCTGGCTCCTTGGAAAGGGTGAGCGAGGGCGACAGCAGTGCCCGAGGGGACACGGGCAGAAGGGTTAGCTGTAAGGGAGAGAAGGGACAGGTCTCTCGTGCCTGGGTGGCACCACATTAGACTCTGTTGTTGGGGTGCAGAGACCACTGGAGGAACCCACGTTGACCGGGCCACAGTTGAAGAGGAGCGAGGCGGATCTTACGCAGGACAGCAGCCCGCCCTCAGGCAGGGCCTCCCAGGGTGAAGTGCGTGGCTGAGCTCAGCACAGAACAGAGCGCCTGCTGGCTCGTCCCGTGCCAGGCACACGCCAAGCACCTAGGGACTCGGGGGAATTCAGACTCGATTTTTGTCCTCAAGGAGCCTACAGTTCAGCGGCAGTGGTGGTAGTGGTAACAGCAACGGTGGCAGTGAGTGTCCCCCGTGTGCCGGGCACCGCTCCAGGCACTTTTCTTGTGTTTTCAACTTATCACAACAACCTATTATTACCATTAGCTTCATTTTTCAGATGAGGAAACTGAGGCTCAGAGATTAAGTGATTTGTCCAAGGCAGTCTGACTGCAGAGCCCCAGGCTTAATGATTCGGATACAGATTTAATGTAACAGGTAATAAAAATGAAAGAATCCCAGGGCATCAGGAGGGCAGGAAGCACTATCCCTGAGCCTGGTTTTCGGCTTCCAGAAATCGGTGCACACGAGGGATCAGGAATTGGTATGTGCTAAACAGTCTTCGTGATACAGAAATGAAATTGCTGGTTATTTGCAGTGAAAAGGCTGAGTGTCAGCAGCTTAAACTCATGTTCTTTGGTAGCATGTTTCTCACCTAAAGAATAATTTCTATGAGAAGGTAAATTACAGTCAAAAGGCCATCAGGGACAGGGAATTAGAACAAAGAAACGTAATAGGAAGAACTGAATGGTGAGTGCCGCACCTCCCCAAATCCAAGAGGCCGTCGGCGTTAGGACAGACCTGATGCGCTCACCAGAAGTCCTGCAGCGGCTCACTGTGGGCGTGGGGCGTGTGTTAGTTTCAAAGACATTCGTACGTGGGCGGAAGTGTCTGTCTTAGCATTAACAAGCATTTATGAGGATCTGCTGAATGGGGCTGCTATAGGATGAACCAGACCGAAGTAGTCCCTAGGTTCACAGAGCTTCTAGTCAGGTTGGGGTCACAGACAAGCAAGGCATAGCAGTGGGTTGGGGACGGAAGCGTAGTAAGTACATGGAACTCAGCGGGCTCGGCTAGAGTTTGATGCATTGGGGGGCGGGCAGGGAGTATGATAAGACATGATATGGGAAAGCAGTGAGCAGGACCAGGTTCCCTTCCTCCCTCCCTCTCACACACACAGACACACACACACAGCCATGAGCCATGTAAAAATGTTTGGACTTTGTTCTAAGGACAGTGAGAAATTCAGGGACGTTTTAGGACACAGCTCTCTGAAAGCCATGGTGTGGAGAGTGGGCGAAAGGTGGGGGGCAAGAACAGAGACGGTGAGGCCAGCTGGGTGGGTATTGGCCGTGTTCCCGTGAGTGGTTATGATGGCGAGGACTGTGGGAATAGTAGTGGGTGAAATCAAAGTGACAGACAAGGTAGAGTCCAGTGAACTTGGAGCCTGGTTGGAGGTCGGTGGTGCTGGGGGGGGAGGGTCGAGTGTTAGTTCCATATTTGGAGCTTATATACCATCTGTCCAGAGAGTGGTAGAGGGAGGAGCGGGTTTGCTGGTAAGACAGTGAATTTAATTTCTCACTTGTCAGTTGTGAGGCATCTGTGGGATATTCAGGTGGAAACATCTAGGAGGCTGCTTGTAAAATGAGTTTAAAGTTCAGGAGGACCGATGTCTGGCACTGTTCAAGGGCGCCCATATGAGCCCGCAGAATGCTTGTATCTGCTGGCCAGGGCGCTCTTTCCTTTGAACCCTGCAAAGGACAGCTCACCAGGTCCTTGCCCTTTTCTTTCTGCCCTGCAGATTCTGTCTTCATTCACATGTTCCTTCTTAAGACTCATGACAGTCCCGTTTGTTAGCGTCAGGGTGGCTCTATCACATGTGACAGTAACCACATCTTCAGATGCATCTATAGAGATACAAACGTGCGCTTCTAGTTGTCTGGATGGAATTGGTTGTTAGTGTATCTCCCAGCCACCCACTGGACAGCTGCTCCTTAAAGTGGGACATGTACAGGTGGTCAGTTTCATATGCTTCATTTTGACTTTTCCTTATTTCAGCCTCTGTGTAATCATACCTTGGGGTTTCAGGGGAACCTTGACATCAGTCCTTAGCGCAATCAGAAGATGGGCTTTGTGAATAATGGGAAGTGGGGGGGGGGTAGGATCGCGGCCTTGTGTCTGGAACAACAAATGTGGAAAATTGGGTAGGACATTAAGAAATGAAAATAAAAGGTTATGTTCATATAGAATAAGGACCCATTTTAATTTGAATCCGTGAATTTGTGGCAGGGGAGTTCCAACACTTTTTGGTGTTTCTGTGGCAAATCGTTATCCTAGACGTCTGCAGTGAGAGGTGGTTGGAGAGACCCAGGACGAGAGCCAAGTTTGAGCACCTAACAAAGTTAAAAGCCAATGAACTTTCATTAAATGCATGCTGTTTGTGAATAAAGGGTCTACTGCACCTAAGAAGTGTTAGTGAATCGAGCAGTTCAAAGACGAGGGAGTGAGTACCAGCTGGAGAACCCGGAACGGAGGGTCCTGGAGCGCAGTGGGTTACGGAGCAGGTTCTTTTGGTATATTTTGTAGGACAAGTAAATCACATTTGCTTTAGAAAACCAGAACATACATGAGTTCAAAACACATAAGGTATCACTCATAATCCCATCACCTAGAGACAGTCACTGATGACATCTGTTGTATTTCTTCCCATATGTTTTCTATATGTATTTTTCTATATCTATTACCCAGTCAGGATAATATATATCTCTGACCAGTGTGGCTCAGTGGGTTGGACATTGTCCCACAACCCAAAGGGTTGCCGGTTCGATTCCTAGTTGGGGCCCATATCCGAGTTGCGGGTTTGATCCCTGTTGGTGGTGGGCAAGAGGGAACTAATGGATATTTCTCAGATACATCGATGTTTCTCTCTTACTCTTCCTCCCTCCCTTCCCTTTTCTCTAAAAATAAATAAATAATCTTAATAAATAAGTAAGTCATCTTTAAAAAACTTAAGTAGATAATTGTACTTTTCATAACTTGCTTGTTTTACTTAGTATACTACATCCTTAATAGATTACAGATTTTATGTCAATAATTATATTCTGTACTTTTGTAATATTGTTTTTAATGGTACTTTCTATCAGGTGGGTGTATCATAATCGATTAAAACTCCACCTAACGTAGAATTTGAGGTCTTTGAGGCGGTTGGAGGAAGGGGACCCAGAGCAGGAGCACAGTCCTCTGACAGGCGGCTGTGAGCCACAGGGAGGGCCCGGCAGGGGCGGGGCATCAGAAGAGCACACGGGCGCGCCTGGCCCTTCAGCCCACTCTCTCGGGGACGGAAGGGAAATAAATGCTGGCTTTGAGCAGGGAGGGGGCTTCAAAGGCGGAGAGACGGAATGAGGACTGCATGCGGTGAAGACGCTGGTGTGGGAGCACCCAGGGTGGAGGAGGAGGAAGGGAAGAACTTTCCGGGGTGTGTGCAGGAGCGGAGCAGTGAGGCGGGAAGTGCCAGAAAATGACTCTGGGGCCAGAAGGCAGTTGTAAGTGCTGGCCCTGCACGAGCTGTAGAATCGTGCGCAAGTCTCTTCATTTCCTTACCAGTGAAACAGGAGTAACCAAAACCTACGCACATGCCTGTGAGTCTTCTGGCGTGTCACTGTGAGGGTCACCGGGGTTGACGGTCGTAAACTGAGAGCCCTGCTGAGGACTCAGTGAGACCCAACACAGAGTAGCACTTACATGGAATGGAATAGGGCCACCGTTGGAAAGAAAGGGGACAACAACTGAAGTGACAGCAAACTCACTCATAGCAGGAGTTACTGTGAGGTACAATCTACGCACACGGGGCCTGGATGAAGGAACCGATAAGTGCAACCACGTCGTCACCGAGCCACAGGTGGCCCAGGTCCTCCACCCCCACCTCAGCCTTCCATGTGACGTGGTCGATGGACTTGAACTACCATTTAGCCCCCCCAGCAGCCTGGGCCGAGAAGCAGGCAGACATGGCAGGGCACTGAGCATGAGTGTAAAGGAAAGTTAGGAAGCTTAAAAACGAGGCTCTTCGAACCCCACCCCCTGCTCCCCAGGTGGCCTCAGCCCGCGGGCTTCTGTTTCCTTCTGACGCCTCGGCTCAGCGTTTCCCAGCCAGAAGCAGTGGCGCACCCACACCCCCAATGTCCGCATATGGCGGACATTTGGAAATGGCGTGGGACGTTTTCGATTGTCCCTGGGGCCTGCAGCAGGCTGACACTGAGACGCTGAGCGCTCTGCCGCCGGGGTGCGCACTGTGGGCTGAGCATGGCCAGCCTTTCCCGGGTCCAGCACTGAAGAGTAAGGCCCACTGTAAGGATTCAGCATGAGTGGACGCCAGGAGACGCAGTTCCTCACAGGATGCTACCAGCAAAACCTCACTTTTGGGTGCGACGTCAGATATCGCTGACAGATCGCAGTAACTTGCCTGGACTTAGAGGAGAGAGTCTCTGTGGTGGTAGCTCCCCTGAGCCCAGAAAGGCCATATGAACGGTCCTTCCCGTGGGGTGCGAAGGTGCCTGCTGTGGGTGCCATTTCTTTTGAACCGAGCCTAGATGATAGGACAGTAAGTTGTATGTAAGTGTGACTCGTACCTGCTCTTGCCTGTTAAGCCCCCACTTTGGGAGGCTGTGTTAGCACGTAGGATGCCATAAGGGAGAGGAGTGGTCGTCCTTTCTAACCTGAGGAATGGCTTGAGCACCTACTTACTGCCACGGAGTTAATCATTTTTTGTGTGTGTCTCCGTTCCTCTCAGGAGAGAAGCCCTTTATCTGTGAAATCTGTGGCAAAAGCTTCACCAGCCGCCCCAACATGAAGCGGCACCGCAGAACGCACACCGGCGAGAAGCCCTACCCGTGCGACGTGTGTGGCCAGCGGTTCCGCTTCTCCAACATGCTCAAGGCCCACAAGGAAAAGTGCTTTCGGGTGACCAGCCCCGTGAACGTGCCGCCCGCCGTCCAGATCCCGCTCACGACCTCCCCCGCCGCCCCGGTGCCGTCGGTAGTGAACACCCCCACCACCCCCGCGCCTCCGATGAACATGAACCCTGTGAGCACTCTGCCCCCGCGGCCCATCCCCCACCCCTTCTCGCACCTGCACATCCACCCACACCCTCATCACCCACACCACCTGCCCATCCCTCCCGTGCCTCACCTGCCCCCCCCTCCAGCGCTCTTTAAGAGCGAGCCTTTAAATCACAGAGGCCAGGGCGAGGACAGCTTTCTGCGGCACCTGGCAGAGAAGAACAGTCCGGCACAGCATCACTAACATCCACCTCCTTGTGTGTGTTCTCTGTGCGCCGGGCGCCCGCGTATGAGCGCGCAGAGGGGGCTGGCGAGCGTGTCTGCACCTGGCAGGCTCTCCTCGGCCCCCACCAGGAGCTCCGCCATCGTCTCGGTGAATCGGCACACCCAGGGGTGAGCAAGACCACCCTGAGCTCATGGAGGGGACTGTCGTCTAAACCAGGGGACCACCAAACCGAAGCCCGATTTGCTTGCATTTTCTGGTGACTTTTATAAATTTCAAGTACTCAGACTCGTGGAATTTTATAATTTCATATCAGCCGATGAGGTATGCTTGCTTTTATATCCTGGACTTCTCCTCAAAGAGGGGACAGGCCTGGTTTCCTTTGTACTAATCGGGGAGGCTGTGAGGTTAACCCAGAGCATTAATTGCATCACTGTGCATCGTAATGAATTCTCTTCAGCTTCCGGTGCTGGCTACAGAGCGGGGCTGGCCGCGTCTCACGCATATCACGCATTATAGAGAAGGGCGGAAGTCTTCTCCTTTGTGTAGCTCTCCTAACACACTCTTTATTTTACTACAGAAATTATTTTAGAGTTTTTGTATAGACTTTAGTAGTCTGTTTCTAAAATGAAATGTATTTCAATAAGCGGTGTAATTTTTTCAGTGTAGCTGGACCTATGTTGTAAACTAGAAAAAAAATTTTATAATCATCAAAATGTGATTCTTAAAAGATGCATATAACTTCTATAGTTCAAAGTTATTCTGACACCCGTACAACTCAAAGGTGCTGCGGAGACTGGGCGTGTCTGAGAGGGTCTCCGGACCGGGCCACGCGAAGGCGAGGTTCTGCTTGCAGATCTTGGCGTCGGTCCTGGGTGGTCTTTTAGTCTCTGCCTAACACTCAAGTGTCTTTGGGCTCCCGTCCTCCGTGTCGCGTCCTCCGTGTCTCGTCAAGCGGGCCACTAGCAGAGCGTGGGACCTTCTCCGGGAAGCCACCCGCGGCTCGCACGCTTTGGAGGGCCGAGTCCAGCCGTTCACGTCCAGAGGAGGAAGTGGTGGAGATTGTCTCATCCCGGCTGCGTCTGTCTCTCACTTCCCTCGGGAACTGTGTTCGTGTTCGGCCCCCGTGGGATGACACATCGAAGTCTCATAGTGCGCTTCCTGTTTTGAGGTTGCTTTATTTTTCTAGAACCGTTTCAGAAAGCAGTGCACTAAAATCACAGATGCGGCGGCGCTGAGAGTGGCTGAGAAACCCGGGTGATAACAGACCAGCGTTATCACTGATGTTTCACAGCATCTGCTCCACCGCCGGGTGCGCCCACCGCTCCGAGCTCTAGTCCAGCACAGCTGAAATCTGTGGTGCGGGGGAACAACTGCGTGTGTTGCCGTGTCCTCTGCAAACAGTTTTGTGGCGGCTGCGTGCACGGGCGGTGGGAGCAGCATCTCTAGTGTCGGGCCTCTGGCAGGGCACTTTTTTCAGCTCGGAGAGCGCAGTCAGCCAGGGGCTTATTAAGGAGAGGCAGACCCGAAGGGCTAACATACCGATGTGTTTTACTGATCAAATGTATCCAGACTCAGTAGAGCTAAAAATTTTGTAATTTTTCACCTCAGAGAACTGAATTCCAAAGCTAGATCTACTTACTTTCTCTGCCTGTCATGATTTTTTTTAATCTTGAATTTTTTTTTTCATTTTCTTTCCTCAGCCTCTTAAATCATTGCCTGAATCAGAACCCTGGCTTTTATTTATTTTTAATTTTAGATATGCAGACATACTTTAAGCACCTTCCTGGCCGATAAGCTCTGTGGTAGGCAAAAGTGGAGCTCTTTCCATTGAGGTTAAGTCCCTGTTCTTAAAATACTACATTCTCTGTTAGCTTTCTGGTTTAATCTGTCCACTTTGTTCCGATATTGCCTTTGTTTTCTATCATGAGCATAGAAAAATTTGGGAATGAGGCAGAAAAGTATCTCAAAAGACAACTTTCCCCCTGGTTTGGATGTAATTTCTAAAGAATGGTGTTTTAAACATGTGGATACACTCTTTGAGCATCTAGGCACCCAGACCAATGAGGGGGTTGATCCCCTGTATGTGACGGTCGACTGAGTGGCCGCCTCCTGCTGCTCCCACTGTCCCTCCAACCCCACGATGAGCCTGGGGGCCCTGCCTCTGAGCAGACAGGCCGTCATCTCACGGCCAAACCTGTAGCATTAAAATTAGTTTTTAAAGATGTAAACTGAAGCTTAGTTCATTGGCTGTACCTTTCTCTGTCCTAAATAAATTTGTGGAATAGGGCAGCAGTTGTGATTTCTGGACCTGAGACCACCGAAGCAACTGTTTCATGAGGTGTACTGTAATTATACACTGGAAAATTCAGGTAGTCATCTTCGATTTTTTTAGTCAAGCGAATATAGCCATAAGAAATTATCTGCCGCATACATAGGAAAACCAGTCTTAAGCAAATAATCACCACCACTCATAGCATAAGCAAAAAAAAAATTTTTTTTTGAATCAACATTGTCACACAATACAGTTCTAAGCGAATGGTATTGTGGGACATTCTGGAAACTTCCAGCTTTTTTTAATATATGAGTATACCTCCTCTGACTTGGGATTTGTGGTCTTGAGGGAAATGCCCAGAACGTCACTGACTCTTTGTGAGTGTCGGTTACCTGCGAAGAGCAAAATGCATTAAGAGTATTCACAGCTTCGGCGTCTGAGCTCAAGAAGCGCAGGGTTAATTAAGCCTTAAACGTGCACACACGTCGGGTGCAGCTCGCTCCAGCCTCATGCCCAGGGCCTCGGATCTGACGGGGCCTCTCCTGAGGTCAGAGTTCCCTCCCACCCGTAGCAGAAGCGCCCATGGCTTTTAAACTTGTTCTCTTTGCTGTCTGTTCATGAAGAAGAACCGTGGAGGGGTTTGGGTTCTCAGCCACTATCTGTACTTAAATGAGTCTTTCAAAGGCAACAGCGGCCACCTCTGCACACCACACAGAGACCAGATTGAGGCTGTCTCGTCGCTTAGCTGTGTTGTCTTCGAAGGCTTGTATCGTTGCTGGGGTTGAGACCTGCTTGAGGAAAATTCGCAGGGACTTTCTCGAGTTGGTGCTGCTTTTTCTCCTTTTTCTGTTCTTTTCTCATGGGTTTATCATTGAAACATAACGTCTTTCTCAGCCTTACGGAAAGGCTGCTTGCTGCTCTCTCGCGTGAAGTCAGGTAGGCCCGTCCCAAGTGAGGTTTCCCATTGAGTAGAAGATGAACAATGGGAAGCCATCCGGCCTCATCTCCGTGTCTGTCTGTGATTTGATTGATGGTTATTTCCAGCAAACAGGGAGGCCGCTACATAAAACTTTACTGGGGTTCAAAGAAGCCTTCGCACATCAGGTCCACGAGCTTTTCCAGCCCACCCTTGCCACTCGCGCTTCTCTGGGCGACCAGCTCCGGCAGCGCGTGGGCGCGGTGTCTCTGCACTGCGTGGGCGGGCGGGAGCCGCCTCCCCCTGTGGTCGCGCGCTCCCCCCACTGGCTTGTCCCTCCTGTACTGACCGAAGGCAAAATACGCTGAAGAGACACTTGGGATATTTGAGTTTTCTACTCTTGACAGTTTTTTCAGTTTTTATGTTTGTTGAGTGGATGTGTATGTTTAGTTTCATTGTGATTTCACTGGATGTTTGAAATTTTCAGAAGATCAAGCAGAAAAAGAAATCCATTGCAGATGTGTATATATTTACCCCATCTTGCACATTTCAGTTTGTGGGACACAGATGGTGGTGGGTTTTATTGTAGGAAAAAAAATAATGAAAGAAAACTAAAGTTAGAGAAACCTTTCTATTTGAGCTACTGTACAGAAGAGGCATCTTTTATTGCATTGCTGATCCACACGATGACCATTTCGATGCTGTTCTAGACTGTATGGGAAGTATTTAATGAAAAAGCGGTTAGGGTACCTTTAAGGGTTTTATCAGCTGTGTACCATTACAAAAATAAACTCACTTGGAACTCTTCAGACTGTAAAGTCTAGCAAATAAATAGTTGGGTTTTCTTTTTCCTTTGCTTCAACCAAGGTGAGAAATTTCCCAAAAGGTCATTTTTTTTTCCCCAGGAATGAGAGGTCATTGGCCGCTAGAGATGGTGGCATTATTATGCACTAGCAGTAGCCCCGCTGGTCTGCTTCTGTCGCCTGTAGCATTTGGGACAGGTAACGATGACCCTGCAGCCCTGGACACTACCTCGTTAAAGCAAGCCAGCCCCCCTCCACTTCTATGGAAGCCATAGCAGTTGCCATCAACGCATCCACTTTCATAATTCTACACTTTTATACTCTAGACTTTTGATACACTTTATGATCAGATCTTTTTGTCCTAGAGGATAGATTTTGCACAGTTCAAAGGAAGATCAAACTCCTTGGTTGTCGCAACTTTGAAGCTTCAGGTTGAGTAAATTTGAATAAAGAACCAGATAATGTACCGTTTATCCAATTCCTCATTTAGGTCAAAACTATTTTGCAGGGTTGCCTATTTGGAAGACAAACGCCTCTTTTCCTATTCCCCATGCAGAAGGTATATTGTTGTAAGAAACTGCTTATAAAGTGGATTCCTACCGTTACTCTGTGTATTTCTCCTAAGACGTGTATTGTCACAATGTTCCTGCAGCTTTTATTTCCGTATGACAGATGCAGGGATAGACACACCCTGCTCCGATCCTCCATCACCCACCGCTGCGTCAGTCTCTCTCACCCTGTCCCTGAGTGCCTTCAGAAAGCCAGCATCCCGGAGCGTCCGTCCCCTGGTGTAACTCCTACCTCTGACTCTTTCATTCTCCATGAGTCCTGGGGCTCGCGCTTGTCCCAGAGGGTTTGGCTCTCCAGGAGAGCTGAGACCTTGGGACAGAGGATTTTGAACGTATTTGTTTGGTTTCTCCATGTCGTGCTCGGATTGCATTTTTAATTTACATCTGACTGCTTCACCTATTACGTCTCTAATGATGAAATATTTTACCCTTATCTTACTTTTCATTTTCCTTTCTTTCACCAGCAACTAGATGTTCTTTTAAAACTTGAGGTCAGCGAGCATGCCCTTTGAATATCTTTTGCTCCTCCCAGTCTTCCCGAATGCCTCCCGTTTTGGGGGGACCCCGCCTGCTGCTGTCGCTGCTGCCAGTCCTCGGCGTCCCATCTCTTCCAGAAACATTTTTGCGAGGTTGTACCCATGGCTTTATTTTAATCAAAAGTCCCTTATTGGTTTTTGACCTGCCTCTCCTATCTTCCAGTCCCTCGGTAATTCCAGTACTTCCTTTTCTACTTGCTCTCCTCTGATTAAGTTTTAAAATATGATTGATAGATACTCAATGAAGGATGTAGTTAGAGGGGGGTTAACAGTGTGTTCTCCGTGTGACATGAGCACCTTATTATTAAGACATTTTAGCATTGGCTCATCTTCCAGTCAGGACTGAGGTCTGTGCTGTGCACGGGTTTCTCGCTCCTTTCTGTTCTCCCTCAAAACTGAAAACGCTTTAAAATGAGGAAATTGGATTGAGTTGTTTGTTGGGCTTTTTGTTTTTTATTGTTGGTTTTGGGGTTGGATTTTTTCTTTATGTGAATGGAAGCTGTTGAGTATTTTGGTCTTAGTCAAGGTCTTTCCTTTTGACTTAAGATGTCATGCCTCTTCCCTTCAAATTAATAATACTAATACTCAGGTTTTCAAGACTAAAAACCACACCAAGTGGCACGGTAAGAAGGCAGCTGTGAATGACCCTCAGTCCTTTCTGTCCAGCGACGGTATGTTTGGGGGGCAGTGCAAAGCCGTGAGAGTTGGTTTATGTTTGACGATGAGCAAGTTCAAGACGCCGGACATCTCTCGCTGGCTCTTTGGAATGGGGAGGCTAGTTTACAAAGTGCCGGAGGTCCGTGTCTCCAGAAGGAAGTGACGAGGGCTTCTTGTTATTTTCATACTTTCCGCTTTTATTTGCCTTGATAGTCCCCTATTATTGACCTGGAAGCTTTTGCCTCTTTTCGGGAGCAACTGGATGCCTGAAGTAATCACTTTAGAACGTGTGGTCCCAGGCGGGACGTGTGGAGAGCCGTGGTGGGTTCACGCTTGGAGAAGCCACATCCCAGAGACAGTGCTGGCGTGTTTCATGTCTTCCACGGTAGGAAATGTTTGGAGCAGGTATCCAAGGGTGCTTGCCCCTGAGCAGTGTCCCCCTCTGCTTTCGAGTCCCAGGTTCCCTTTACACCAGGGGACCTTCTCTGCTGAGACTGGGGGTGTTGCGTGTTACTTGAAAACTATTTGGGGGGCGTAGGATGGAGGCGGGAAAAGAAGAGCCAGAAGCTGAATTCTGCCCAACTTCAGGAGGAAATCTGATACTTGCATTGCTCGTTTTGACCAACCAAAGAGCCTGTCTCTGTACCGGATGTGCCAAAGAATCAGGTTGTCCCTACCTGTCTTTTACAGGTGAGAGGGACCATGTGACCAGAGGGCAGAGGTGCCAGCTGACGTCCTGCCTAGGTCCCGAGGCTCTGTTTGGTTGCATTTGCAAGTTGGTGGGAAACACTGTTTTAGAATCTAACCTTCCCAGAAATACCTTGTCTGTGCTTGACTATTCAATTCGTTAGATTTTTCAAAACTAAAAAGAAAACAAAAAAAACTTGCGTGGCACCATGTTGCTGTTTGCTTCTGCAGTCATACCCCCAAGGATTTATGTACAGCCTCTAAAAATCAGAGGAGGCCTTCGGGGAGATGCATTCATTCATTACTCCACAGGATGTTGTTTCATCGGCAGTACTGGCTCTGTCCACAAGGGGGCAACAGAGTACTTCAGCTTCTCCATTCTAAGGTTCTAAAGAAAGAGCCCGCTTTAAGTCTCCTATAGAATATCCTCTTTTGACTCCATGTTTATTTATAGATCTTGGTTTTTAAGACATTTTTCCTTATTACTGTGTCCAGTAGTTGCTCAGACTTCACGATGCAAACAAAGGTTGATGTGTGGGTCAGAGGTCCTTGTGGGTCAGGCATGTTAATTAGCCTTTTAAAATAATGGTGCCCGAGCCCTGGGCAGTGTGGCTCAGTTGGTTAGGCGTTTTTCTGCAAAGTGAAAAGGTCACCAGTTGGATTCCCGGTCAGAGCACATGCCTAGGTTACAGGTTCAGTTCCCAGTTGGGGCATGTATAAGAGGCAACTGATTTGATGATGTTTCTCTCTCACATCAATGTTTCTCTCCCTCAAATAAAACATTTTAAATAATGGTGCCGGAGATTGACCTCCTCATGGGAGATGTCTTCTGTGCTAAAGCAGGAAAGCGACCCTCCTTCTTCCAAATCCCACCACCAGCAGAACCCAGACATCCCTGAGAAAGACGGGCGGCGGGGGTAGCTCTGGAGTGCGAGCGCGGAACTGCTCTTCACGGGGTCTGCTCCAAACGGGCGCCTGTCACACCAGGGAGCAAGGCCCGGGGTCAGGGAGGTCCCCTGAAGCAGCCACTCCTCCAGGTTAGGGGTCACTTACCTTGGGGCTCCTGACCCTCGGAGCCCTCTGGCCGTGGGTCCTGTGCCTGCTCCTCGCAGCGGTGTCCTCACGGTGAGCAGGTCGGGAACCAGCAGTGTCCCCTGTAGAGCCAGGAGGCGCCTGCCCCTGGACTGGCCTTCCTGATGCGTGTCCGTCTGTCTGTCTCCTTGTCCCCGGCCAAGTCTGACCCTGAGCAACAGGGAGATGGAGGTGTCCGCTTGTAACTCCACCGTGTGACAAAAAGGTGAAACGGAAGCTGTGATCGGTTTAGGTGACAGGTGGCCAGGTGTGACTCGTTCGTGTTATTTTTGTTTTCCCCAACAGTACTGAGATCACTTGCACTTTTCCTCATTCCTTATAGAAAAGAAAATCCAGTTTGCTTGCCAGAAATTGTGTAGTGTTAGGTTTACAAAGCTTGGTGTTGAATGTTGAACATTTGTCCAAAGGAGTTTGACGAAACAGAAGCTGCTTGGTCCCTGTTCTGCCTGCCAGGTCGTAAGGGTGAAGGCCATGTGGCTGGGGTGCTTGTGTCAAGTTCAGAAGGGGGCAGCGTCCCTCTCCTACCTCTGCCAAGACGCGACTGAAGGTCGGGTTGACTCGTGTAGGGCAGGTACTTCTTATGCTGCAGAGAAGTTTAGAAGATTGGGGATGTGACAGAGGAAGGACAGGATTTCTTCAGATGGGAGAGCGACTGGGGAGAGGCGGGCTGGCCTGGGGGGCCGCAGCGAGCGGGACAGAGCTGCCTCCAGCCCTCGCGCCGGCCCGGCCTCCCTGCACAGTCGTCTCTTCCCCCGGCGTCCTGTCGGGCCCCCGATGTACTGATTTCCCCCCTTGCGTTAACTATACCAATATTATTTTTTTAGCAATTGAAATGCACTTTTTTATTTCAACTCAATCATGATTTTAAGTATAAGAAATTTATAGACTGTTAAAACTACTTTTTGTGTGTATTTTTAACCACTTGATGTAGCATTGTCTATTTTATTCTTGTGAGACTCCGGTACAAGTGTACCGCTTCACTATGTCCCCGAGATGCTGGGCCTTTGGATGTGTACGGTAACCAACTTAATGTTCAAAGTAAAAAAAAAAGTAGCCATAGCTGTTGTGTCTTTCTTCACTCCGTTTCCTCCTCATCCTCCGCTGACGTCGTTCTGAGGTCTCCTCGTTAAATGAATTGTCTTTTTTCCGTAAAATGAACAACCCATGTCTCCTGTCACTGGTTGTGTCTGGCCCCGGTAGCAGGCTGCGCAGCCCACAAACCCTGCAGACCTCTCCACGGAGGACCCCGCGTCTCCCAGGCTGCGGGCCACCCACACAGGTCAGTTCTCTTCCCTGGGCGCTGCCCGGCTCCATGCTGATTGGTTTCGGTAATACTATTCTATCTAGCTGAGCGATAACCCGAACATACCCCAGAAAACAGTATTTGAAAAAAAAAAGATCCCGCTTGGGTTCCGAACCAGTTTGAAGAAAAATAAGCACAGATGGGAACAGCTCACAAAGTA